GAGCTTCCTCCAGGCTTCCCAAGCCAGTGCAGGGGCCCAGGAACTTGGGCCATCTTCCACTGCTTTCCCAGGCCACAGCAGAGAGCTGGATTGGAAATCCAGCAGCCAGGACTCGAACAGGCACCCATAGGGGACATCGGCATTGCAGGCCAGGGCTTTAACCCACTGTGCCACAGCACTGACCCCAACTTGTGATGTTTTAAGGGCAGTTTTTATTTTTGTTTTTAAATGCACTGAATCTACAGCAACAAGCAGAGGGCAAAGACCATGGAGTTCCTACATGGATTCTGTGACTACAGATCCACTCCTGACTTGTGCTGTCCACAGTCTTGCCACTCACTGTAGGGCAAGCTGACCTTGAGTGGTGGGGTAGACAAAATGGCAGGATTTTGGAGAATGCAAGTTTTAGAACTCAGGTGGGATCTAGTGGTTGACAATAGGTGTGTATCTGTTTTTACAAGACTGGAGAAATCCTGCAAAATTGCCTGTTATTTTGGGTGATACAGTTAGAAAAGAAAAAGAAGGGAAAATTACTGTTCTCTCTACCGTGCCTGTCAGTTGGATAGGCATGAGGGCAATGTCTACCAAAAAAGAAAAAGCCAAAAGCCAAGCTATTATATTAAAAATTGAAGGTAAAAGAGCTTTTTTCACATCAGTGATTGGAATTCTGGAGTGAAGAATTTACAGATGTCTAAAACCAACGTTGTCATTGCAAAAGAAGTTACATAATTCCAGCAAATTTCAGCAAATAATCCAAAGAGCTCATTGTTTAACATTCTGTCTACTGTTCTATTTGTGATTAAGTTACATTCAGGGACATTTTTAGAAACTGCTTTTTTTTTTTTTTTTTTTCAAATATTTTACACCTAGCAGCAATGAAGACTTAAAAAAGAATCTCCGTTATACTGTTTCCAAAAGTACAGCAGATGGCGCCCAGCACGGCCAGTGGGCAAAAGGAGAACTTCTTATCCAATGTTTCCTAATTTAGACCTAATTCTGTGGTTGGCAGTAACAAAACTCAGTGGTTTTAATTGACACTCTGCTGTGTAGCAAGAGTACTCTGCGAGCTACAGCCCAGCTGTTTGGGTTTTTCTGGGCATCATAATTGCCTTTTGGCCCTTCACCTTACTGTCCAGTCCTGTCACAGGGAAACCTAGCTTGGACTGTAACAAATTGCAGAAAGCCTCTCAGAGGCCTTGGTGGCAGAAATTGGAAAGATAGTAATCTCTGCAGCACCCAGTTGAGGGGTGACGGAAAGTTGCTGTCCTGGATACGCAGTGCCTTAATGTTCAGGAGTGTCTGTGGTCTGAGTTTTCCTTTCTTGGCCTTTATAGCTACCCAGGAAGATTACAGTATTTGTAATGAGGTCGAGGTAAAGCAAACTTTTCCCCCTTTTGTTCATTCATAAACCTCTTGTCTTTGGTTCTATACTGAGAACCAAGCTAAAGAAAACAGCTGAAGTAAGCCTAGCTAATGGCTCATCTCACCGATCAGTAGGTAGCAGATGTGGGTTTGGAGGATGTAAACTCTGCCTTCTAACTCTGCAGAGTGGCACAGGACCGTGGTTTACCTGGCATATACCTGATGTGAGACCAGAACATGCCAGTCAGGATGCGCTAGGTCAGGTGGCCTCGGTGACGCCTGTGAGTGTGCTGTGTGCATTCTGAGTGTTCTCCTGATCCTCATGACTCACCTTGAACTTGTGATTGTACTGCCCACGCTGTGCACTAACTGTTAACTTTTAAAAATTCCTGATAGAATACTGGTGAAAGGGGGTTGGCTTGTTTGTTATTTACTTATTTGAGAGAGCACGCACAAGAGTGAACTCGTACCTGCTGGTTCACTCCCCAAGTGCCTGCCATGGCCAGGCAGAAGTCAGGAGCTGAACACTCAGTCCAGGTATTCCATCCATATGCGTGGCAGGAACCCACTTACTTGAGCCATCACCACTATTTCCCAGGAAGCTGGATTCAGAACCAGAACCAGGTATCAAACCCAAGATATCTGTCCAATGTTTGGACATGAGCGTCTTAGCCTCTGGGCTAAATACCTGCCCATGTTGAGACTTTTAAGACTCCAAAATTTCGGGCCGGCGCCGCGGCTCACTAGGCTAATCCTCCGCCTAGCGGCGCCGGCACACCGGGTTCTAGTCCCAGTTGGGGCGCCGGATTCTGTCCCGGTTGCCCCTCTTCCAGGCCAGCTCTCTGCTGTGGCCAGGGAGTGCAGTGGAGGATGGCCCAGGTGCTTGGGCCCTGCACCCCATGGGAGACCAGGAAAAGCACCTGGCTCCTGGCTCCTGCCATTGGATCAGCGTGGTGCGCCGGCCGCGGCGGCCATTGGAGGGTGAACCAACGGCAAAGGAAGACCTTTCTCTCTGTCTCTCTCTCACTGTCCACTCTGCCTGTTAAAAAAAAAAAAAAAAAAAACAAAGGACTCCAAAATTTCAAATAGAGTACCAGAATTAACTGTTAATAATCTTAGAATCAGTCATGTCTTGTTTTCTTGCTTACAAAGTAGCCTCATGAAATTGCTGGGAAAACAAAACAAGGGGCTGGCACTGTGGTGTAGCGAGTAAAGCCACCGCCTGCTGCACCAGCATCCCATATGGGTGCCTGTTCAAGTCCTGGCTGCTCCACTTCTGATCCAGCTCTCTGTTATGGACTGGGAAAGCAGTAGAAGATGGCCCAAGTCCTTGGGCCCCTGCATCCATGTAGGAGACCCGAAAGAAGCTCCTGGCTTCAGATGGGTGCAGCTCCAGCCGTTGCAGCCAATTGGGGAGGGAACCAGCAGATGGATGACCTCCCTCTGTCTCTCTCTCTCTCTGTGTAACTCTTTCACATAAATAAATATTAAAAAAAAAAAGATGAAGATGGAAAACAGAAAACCTTTTGAATAGTGCAAAATATATGTTTTTGTAGGATCCCAAGGAGGCATAAGTATGTTAATAGTACCCCTAAATTTTTTCTAAACTTAATGAAAGGCACATCAGCAAATAAAACTGTAAATACCTACTATTTTACTTGATCAAATATTTACTAATTTCATTTCATCTCAATTTCTCCCACCTTTCTAAAGGAGTTTTGTTTGTTTGTTTTTTAAGGAATGTGCTGAAAGAACATTCAGGAAAGATAAGGACAGTGGCAGTTACAGCTAAGGGGAAAAGTCTGTCATTTTTGTTGCTGTTTTACTCCAGATTTGAAAAGTTCAGTGAATGGACAGCAAGCACTAACTTAGCAATTAGCCAGTATTGCTCATTAACTTGCACATTTTGAACACATTCTCAAGAAATTTTTGTTTCAGACTCAGGAATCATCGGTGTCCATAAGATTGTTTCATACCAGCCGGCGCTGCGGCTCACTAGGCTAATCCTCCACCTGCGGCGCCGGCACACTGGGTTCTAGTCCCGGTCGGGGCACCGGATTCTGTCCCAGTTGCCCCTCTTCCAGGCCAGCTCTCTGCTGTGGCCCGGGAGTGCAGTGGAGGATGGCCCAAGTGCTTGGGCCCTGCACCCCATGGGAGACCAGGATAAGTACCTGGCTCCTGCCATCGGATCAGCGCGGTGCGCCGGCTGCAGCAGCCATTGGAGGGTGAACCAACGGCAAAGGAAGACAAGGAAGACCTTTCTCTCTGTCTCTCTCTCTCACTGTCCACTCTGCCTGTCAAAAAAAAAAAGAGAAGAAAAAAAAGATTGTTTCATACCGCTTGCAGTGACTTGCCAAGTGTTTTGAGAGAGGGACCATCTCAAAGTAAACTCTGTTTAGCTTAAGTTTGTTTCCCAAATTTGATCTCATGTCTGTATTCCCAAGTGAGTTAATTGTTTAAAAAAAAACTATTTCTTTGAATAATCTTGAAGATATCATATATAAACTATAAGCATAAACTCAGAAGTATTTATTAGAATATAACAGCCACGTCCTTATAGCTTGTGAATTTAGACCATGGGCCGGAATGATTTCTAATGCTTGGAATAATTTCGTACCTAGGCATACATTACAAAGACAGTGCAGGCCAGTTAGTCCATTACTACTGAATGTTAATCTTCACTTACAGGGAAGGAAATAGCAAGAATTCTGTTTAAATGTTTTTCTAATGGCATTTACATAAAATTACAAAAATTTAGGAGATTCCATCGTACTAAAATGCAAAGATGCAGTGGAATCAAATGCCTAGCAAGTCCTGTAGATGGTACAACAGTCTGTACCCTGCTGTGCTCATAAAGCAACTTAGGAGCAGGTGGTTCATATCAGTACAAATCTGTAAGCTAATCATTAAATCTAGTAAGTGCCCCTTAAATAAGAAAGTATAAGGAGGCTTTAGGGGTTGTACACATTTGAGTTCTAGGCCCAACAGATCAGCAGAACACAGCCTTACTTGGACTCATTCTGTATTTTCCAAATCAGAGGCAGGAGACAAAAATCGATTTTCAGCACTACCTAGGTTTGTAACTCTAGGTAACTTTCTGGCCTCAATTTATCCGCAAAAGCTATCTTGACAGTAACAGTAACAATGTAGGAGAGGGGTACTAGCGATTGGGGACAAACACTGTAAAATTAGTAATGCAGCACAGGCATGTGGGAATAGCATAATTCACTCTAATTCATAGCACCCAAGCCAAAAGTCTTACTGCAGTTTGAAGCCATGGTTGACTTGTCATCTCAGTTGAAGGACCATCACTATCCGAGTACAGAACCTTGTCTTGTTGCAAATATATTTAAGGACTAACATTTAATTCTTCTGTTAAAGCCATAACTAAATGTAACCTTAAAGAAAAGTTCTAACTTCATTATGCTTCAGAGAGTAAAATAAGCAAGATAAAGAACACTGCATGCATAAGTGTCCCCAAAGATTGATCTCGCTCTCCCAGCAGATACTGCAGTTCCTTTATAATTGTTGAAAGTGTAGTGTGCTATTTGTAGTGGTTTATACTTGTAGATGTGAGGTGAGACAAGAGTTTGTTTTGGGTTGTTTTTTTTCCTCCTTTAACTGTAGCCTTCTCTTAGGTGCACTGATGCTGAAAGACTATGAACTTGCAGAAATTCTGGAGAGACTACAAAGTTCTGGTGGTTATGGTACCTCTAGTTGGGCTCATCCATTTGGGGTGGCACAGAATCAAAAGTAGCCCCATTTTCCAAGTACCTAACAAGGACAACATTCCTGAGCCAGACAGTCTGGCCCTTGCGAGTCTGCCGAAGGGCCCACCCCAAGGGAAATAGCAAACTTGCCATCTTCAGGTAAGTTCCGCTTACTCTGGTCAGTAAAGGGAAACTAGATCTTCTCAAGGAACGGCCTTAATTTGCAAGTTACCTGTTCTATTAGGACCCCTGACAAAATATTATTGTGCGCTGCTTCTAGAAAAGTTGGGTTCACACAAACCTTTGAAAGTTAACTAGGGGCCAGCACTGTGGCATGCGTAGTGGATAAAGCTGCCTGCTGCCTGCAGTGTCAGCATCCCATATGGGTGCCAGTTCAAGTCCTGGCTGCTCCACTTCTGACCCAGCTCTCTGCTATGACCTGGGAAAGCCGTAGAAGATGGCCCAAGTCCTTGGGCCCCTGCACCCGTGTGGTGGGCTCAGAAGAAGCTCCTGACTCCTGGCCTCAGATCCGCCCAGCTCTGGACATTGTGGCCATTTGGGGAGTGAATCAGCAGGTGGAAGACTCTCTCTTTCTCTCTCTGCCTCTCTGTAACTGCCTTTTAAATAAGTCTTTAAAAAAAAAAGTTAACTGGTAGCTGTTTGGATTAAAAGAAAAAGGATGATTTTGATAGCAGCGTCACCAGGACCATGAATGTGTAGAAAGGAGCAGTTAACTCTTCCCTGTAAACCCATTACATAGCATTAAATAGCCTGAAACCTGCAAAAGCTTATTTTTCAGATTAGCCGCTGTGCACAGGTTAATCCTCCACCTGCGGCACCTGTGCCGGTTCTAGTCCCAGCTGCTCCTCTTCCAATCCAGCTCTCTGCTGTGGCCTGGGAAAGCAGTAGAAAATGGCCAAAGTGCTTGGGCCCCTGCACCCACATGGGAGACCCAGAAGAAGCTTCTGGTTCCTGGCTTCAGATCAGCCCCGCTCCAGTTGTTGCAGCCATTTGGGGAGCAGACCAGTGGATAGAGGACCTTTCTCTTTGTTGCTCCCTCCTACTGTCTATAACTCTACCTCTCAAATCTTTTTTAAAAAGTTATTCTTTGTTTTTGCAAAGACAAATAAAATTAGTTCTGTTCATCCCTTAGCATCTAATTAACTACAAAATAATTTGTTACTCTTGAGTCACTGAAATAAAGATAGAGTTATATAATTGAAGGCTATTGTTTAACAAGAAAGGGCCTCCTATGAAATATTAGGTAATTATAGTGAGAAGTTTAAATGTTGACATACCAGTAGTCCAAAATTTTAGAGATGAATCCTGCTGTTCAGGCTAGCAGAAACATTTAAACCAGTGTTGTGATTTACACTGATTTCAAATAGTTGAAGTGCATCAGAAGAATGTGCTGCATTGTCCCTTATTTTCTGCTTTTGCTTTTAAAGACTTTTTTTTATTTATTTGAAAGGCAGAGTTTCAAAGAGGGAGAGACACAGAGAGAGATAATCTTTCATCCACTGGTTCATTCCCAAATGCCTGCAGCAACTGGACTGTGCCAGGCTGAGGCCAGGAGTCAAGACCTTCATTTGGGTCTCCCCCACATGGGTGGAGGGGCCCAAGCACTTGGGCCATCCTCTGCTGCTTTATCAGGTGCATCAGCAAGGAACCTGGTCAGAAGTAGAGCATCCGGGTCTTGAACCAGTGCCCAACTGGGATGCCAGCTTCACAGGTGGCAGCTTAACTTGTTATGTCACAATCTGGCCCTAATTTTTACTTTTATTATGGAGAATTGCAAATATACCCCAAAATAGAAATGGGATAATGAGGGGCCAACATTAAAGCACATCAGGTTAAGCCACCGCCTGCTGTGCCACCATCCCATGTGAGCACTGATTCAAGTCCCAGCTGCTCCACTTCCAAACCAGCCCTGAGATAATGTGACTGCAAAAGCAGCAGCAGATGGCCCAAGTACCCCAAAATGATTTATGCAGGAAATGCAAGATACTGTTTTACTTTGTTGGTTTTTAAAATAAGTCAATCCTGTAGCAGCATAGTTTTTGGTTTTGGTATCAATATGAACTTTCGGACTTGTTACGCTTCAGTTATCTCATTCTTTTAATGCTCTAGGTGCCCCCCCACCCCCTTTTTGATTCCTAACATTGTTTACATTGTTACAGAAAGAGGGAGAAGCAGAAAGGTCTTTCAACCACTGGTTCACTCCCCAAATGGCCACAACTGCCGGAGCCGGGCCAGTGGGAAGCCAGGAACCAGCAGCCTCCTCCAGGTCTCCCATGTGGGTGCAGGGGCCCAAGGATTTGGGTCACCCCCTACTGCTTTCCCAGGGCCTGATGGTACCTGAGTAGTCTTTGATGACATCCTTATGTGTCAGCAGGAAACATCCCCAACTCATCTTGTGTATGTCTTAGCTCAGATCCACAATCAACCTTTTTTCCAAAAATTCTACCTATTTCAAGTCATATTTTATAGTGTATCTATTTAGACAATAATCATAGAAGTTTTGTTATTTTAGTTATCCATCCGTGCAGAAAAACCCCTCTGCCAAGCCTGTACATCCAGGAATGGTCAGGACCAATCAGCCGATGGTAACTTTTGAAATCGTGGGTGACATTGTTTAGTAAGAAAAAGTTTTACGTTAGATCTAAACTGACACTTCCAAACATATTCTATAAAACAACTCATCTTTGTTTCTTGTACCTTGTTTTGCTGAAGTCTAGATGTGTGACTACAAGTGAATCAGTTTTGGCATCTTAAAAATAATTTCAGAGTCACTAATACTTTCAATGATTTCTTCCTTTCACATTCTATGGACGTATTCACTAAAAGATGTCCTTACTGTAAGAGAGTTGAAGAGAGGAAGAGACAGAGAGATCTTCCATCTGCTGGTTTGTTCCCCAGATGACTGCAACGGCCCAAACTGGGCTGGTCAGGAGTCTCTTCTAGTTCTCCCATGTGAGTGCAGAGGCCCAAGAAATTGGGCCATCCTCTGGCTGCTTTGCCAGGCGCATTAGCAGGGAACTGGATCAGAAGTAGAGCAGCCAGGGCTTGGACTGTTCCCCGCATTTTACTTTTGAAAAGCTGGATATCACTCTTATGTGAATTTTTTCTTCACTAAAAATTAATTTTATTAATTATAGTCTATTGTGTGTGTTAGTTTTAACATGTGCAAATTACCATATAATATTTGGTTTGCTAAAGATTGCATTTAAATGCATTTCACTGATCTGCAGAATCTGGAGTAACTATTAAAATAATATTTAAGTACCTTAGCTATTAGCTGAAGAAAAAACAGATTTGTTTCCCCTTTATCATGCTAAAAAAAAAGTGACTATAGCATCACACTTAGGGGATATAGGGCGGGAACGTGAGAGTGGGGGAAACTGGCCACTTTCGCCTTTACTTTTTTGGACCCAGTTGCCATGGTTACAGCCCTTTAACTAAATTGGAAGCAATAACCCAAATAATATTTTGCATAACATTCCCTCATTCTTGTTAGCTTTTCTGTGCAAATATTCAAATCACTGTTTTACTCTGCTCTACTATAGTGTAGGAAGTACTTTAGGCAAAGGGGTTTTATTTATGCTAAATACTCTCCAAGTAGTTCAGCATAGTTAACATTCCTGAAAATAATTAATAATAATTAATAAAATAATAATAATAATAATAATAATTAATAAAATAATTAATAATTGGCTAACCCTTCACCTTCAAAACACCAAGCCTCAACAAATAAGGTCTATTACCTGAGATTTTTATTCTCCCCACATAACATAGTGTCAGGATTTTATGCCTCAAGGTGCACTATTTACTATTGGTAAGAAAAACAGAAGTGTATTTCTGTTTGTCCATGTGATAGATAAAAAGATTGTAAGGTAGCCGGCGCCGTGGCTCAATAGGCTAATCCTCCACCTTGCGGCACCGGCACACCGGGTTCTAGTCCCGGTTGGGGCGCCGGATTCTGTCCCGGTTGCCCCTCTTCCAGGCCAGCTCTCTGCTATGGCCAGGGAGTGCAGTGGAGGATGGCCCAGGTGCTTGGGCCCTGCACCCCATGGGAGACCAGGAAAAGCACCTGGCTCCTGGCTCCTGCCATCGGATCAGCGCGGTGCGCCGGCTGCAGCGGCGGCCATTGGAGAGTGAACCAACGGCAAAGGAAGACCTTTCTCTCTCTGTCTCTCTCTCTCACTGTCCACTCTGCCTGTAAAAAAAAAAAAAAAAAAAAAAAAAAAGGTGTTTAGGCTGTGTGAGATTGAATTGTAAATTAGATCTTTTTTTTTTCTTTTTTTTTTTTTTTGACAGGCAGAGTTAGAGAGAAACAGAGAGAAAGGTCTTCCTTCTGTTGGTTCACCCCCCCAAATGGCCACTACGGCTGGCGCGCTGCACCAATCCAAAGCCAGGAGCCAGCTGCTTCCTCCTGGTCTCCCATGCGGGTGCAGGGCCCAAGGACCCAGGCCATCCTCCACTGCACTCCCAGGCCACAGCAGAGAGCTGGACCGGAAGAGGAGCAACCAGGACTAGAACCCAGGGTGCTGGCGCCACAGGCAGAGGATTAGCCAAGTGAGCTGTGGCGCCGGCCTGTAAATTAGATCTTATTCTCCCTTTGTCATCAAACATATTCCTTTGTTTTTGTATTTATTATCATTAACAAACATTTTGGGGAGGCTTCTGGTCAGTACTTCCAAAATTGAAAATCACTGATAGAGTAAAATTGTAGAAAATTAATCTAGGCCTTAGCCAAGTATTTAAAACATGGATTATTGTTTGGTATAATATGTTGTGCAGATTTAGCGAAATACAGATTGTACACCAGTGAGTTTCTGCAGTAGAAATGCTAACAGTGATCTTACTTTCCTAATTATTTACAAGCAGGGTATGTTCAGATCTGAAGTTTCTAAGCAAAGTTACACATAAAAAATTCATTAAATCTTGATATAAGAGAATTAAAAACCTTTGGGACTATGTTTTTAAGACTCAAGACCAAATTCCAAGTCTCATAATATAGGATTTCTTTTCTCAAAGCATGTCATATTCACGTAACTGTACTGTAAGTTATCTGTTTTGTACATTCCAAAATCAATGGATTTTTATATATTTATTTTTATATACTATATAAGGCAGAGTCACAGAGAGAGGAAGAGACAGAGACTGATCTATCTGCTGGTTCAGTCCCCAGCTAGGGCTAGGCTGAGTGGAAGCCAGCTGCCAGAACTCCATCTGAGTCTCTTCTATGGGTGGCAGAGGCCCACGTAGTTGGGCCATCTTCTCTTGCTTTCCCAGGCCATTAGCAGAGAGCTGGTTGGAAATGGAGTAGCCAGACTCAAACCAGCACTCATAAGAGACGTTATCATCACAGACAGTGGCTCAGCCTATTGTGCCACAACACTAGTCCTAACCACTTTTTCTTATAGGGAGGATCCATTGAAGAATAAAGGAATATTAAGTCTAGGTTGGTTAACCTTTCTCATTTAAGGAGGCTTGTGCCCCTTAGTAGTTCCTTAAAAAAAGAACAGCACTAAAATAAGTTACAAATATAGTTTACAAAATATTTTAGAATTAGTCCTCTAAAATGTCTTATTTTTATTTCTTATAGAAGGTAGCAGCTTTGAATCTGAGCTTGATATTGAAAGAAGAGATGAGAAACACCAGCTGGATTCGAAAGAACTGGCTTCTTGTAGCCGGTGTGTCCTTCGTAGGCGTCCATCTTGGAACGTACTTTATTCAGAGGGCTGCAAAACAGTCTGTAAAGTCTCAGTCTGGAAGCAAACAGAAGAGCACTGAAGAATGACGTAAAATAAATATGTGGAATCACCAACATGTCATTAAGTCATTATCCGTGTCTATCAGTTTCATAATCATAGAACCTTTTCATTTTCTAGCCTCAGTGCTGCATATTCAGACTTTCACTCCCAAGGAATAGTTTATTTTTTAATATAAACATACATGACCTTGCAATAAATTGAAAAGTATGATTAATAAAATAAAAGCTGTCTTTATAATTTACCACCTAAAGTGACATGTCTCGTTTAGAAGCTAAGAAGCCATCATTGTGTGAAAGCGAACCGCTGACAAGCGAGAGAGTCAGGGCCGCACTTTCTGTCTTGAAAGGCATCGTCACATCATGCTACGGCCCCTCCGGGAGGCTGAAGCAGCTGCACAATGGCCTTGGAGGTTACGTGAGGACAACTTCACAGTCCTGGGCCCTGCTCAGCAATCTCTCAGTCACTCACCCTGTATTAAAGATACTGACAGCCTCTGTGCAGAATCAGGCGGCGTGCTTCGGCGACTGCGGCTTATTCACAGCCATTCTCTGCTGCAACCTGATTGAAAATGTTCAGAGGCTAGCCTTGACCCCCGCCGCTGTCATTAGGTTAAATAAGCATCTCTTGAGTCTCTGCACTGATTACCTCAAGTCAGAGGCCTGTGGTTGCCGGATCCCAGTGGACTTCAGTAGTAGTCGGATCCTCCTTTGTTTGGTGCGCAGTATACTAACAAGTAAACCCGCCTGTATGCTCACCAGAAACGAGATAGATCACATCAGTGCTTTGATCCTCAGAGCCTTTTTGCTTACCATTCCAGAACACACCGAAGAGCACATCATTTTAGGAAAGACCATGATTGTACCTTTGAAAGGTCAAAGAGTAAAGGATTCTGTTGTATTACCTGGAATACTCATTGAAATGTCAGAAATTCAGTTTGCAAGACTATTGCCTTTCAAAAAAGCCGACGTCCTAAAGGTGGCTCTTTTTGGCATGTCCTTATCTGGAGACTTTTCTGACACTGGAGAAGGAACTGTGATGGTCAGTCGCGGGGTTTCTCTTGAAAATGCAGTCCTGGACCAGCTGCTTAGGCTAGGAAGGCAGCTAGTAAGTGACCACGTGGATCTTGTCCTGTGCCAGAAAGTCATTCACCCGTCTCTGAAACAGTTCCTCAGTACACACCGCGTCATTGCCATAGACAGAGTCGGTGGGACTCTAATGGAACCCCTGAGCAAAGTGACAGGTAAAAGTTACTCCGGGCTTGTGCCCCTTACAAATAAACCACACTCTCGGAGCCGAGATGTTCTTGGTTTGTGTCACGGTTAACATCTTAAAACTTCTAGAAGCCGCCCACCTCAGCATGTGTGAGTATTGTTCCCTTAATGGAAGTGGAGTGATCATGCCATTTTCCATGTATTGAGCCCCAAAATGTACTACACATTCTATTATAATCGCATACCCATTTTATAGACTTAAGAAGTCTTAACGCCTTATGATCATAAATTCTTTCATATTTTAACAAAATTCTTTTATTGGAATTGACAAAGCTTTTAAATCATGTTATATTCAGAAGGTAATCCTGCAATGAGAATACCCCCCACTTATTTTTATCATAACTCCCAGCAATTACTTGTGTGCTTCTACTGCCTAACTATAAATGTTGCAGATGGCAGGGAGGATGTGTATGTGTGTACATGTGTGCACGTTTTGCCTTTAAATACCAAACGTATTTCAGCTGAACTCCTTGAGAGCCAGAATCATTATCTTTTACTTTCAACACCCATAGCAGGCCTGGTGTTCCAAAGAGTTTGTTGAATTGACTGTAATATTTGCATTAGTAGCATGCATGATTATATATTAACAGGCAAGAAATTCACTGTATTTCACACTCAGCAAAGTAAAAGCAGATGTAAAGTACATAGTCACATATTAGAACAGAGAAAAATGCTAAGCTGAAGAGTTCCTGATTCGAGGCCCTTTTCAGTATCTTTCTAAACCACATTGACAGCTTACCAGAAAAATGATCATTTAGTTCTGCACTGATTGCAATTTTTAAGTTATTAGATGTAAACCAATATTAAAATTCACTATGGTTTTACTATAAGTCATCAACATAAAATCTTTGGGTTTTTGCCCTTCCTTTCCACAACTGTCAAATGACCATCAAAGTGGAAATTATTAAATAATGGAAATAATCTTTGGAACTTTGACCCACTTGATATTGTGGGTCAGACTCATATCCTTGAGTGTTGACTAGTTTTCATGAATTGGCCATTTAAAACTTGTGAATGTTGGGTATTCCAGATTAGTCAGGTTTTTTAAAGTGTGCTTAGCATTTTTGAAACACTTGGTTTTGTCCAGTTTATTTAGCAAGTGGACATTCTCATCCCCATTTTACTGTCACTTGAAAAAGCCCACCCAGAAAGCTTAAACAACCTACTCAAGGTCAGTGGCTGCTAAGCATAAAGCCTGGCCTCTCCACCCAGAGTGTTTCCATCCTATGAAGCTGTACTACATTATCGGAGAAACAGATCTTCCACCTTGCTGCCCCCACAATGTGCCTTAACAGAACAGTGGAACTGGGGCCGAAACCCAAGCTGTCCAATGTGAGATGCCGGTATTTCAGGCAGCATCTTAACCAGATACCCACCCATCTCTAAATCTAAATAAAGGTCATGCTAAAGTATTCCGTGTTCTTGAAGGTTTCAGAAAAAAAGGAGAGAATAAACAAGTGAAACTGTCCAGTGATCATTTTCTACATTTTTTTTTTTGAGCTAGAGGAGTTTTTAGTCATCTTAACCCCATTAGCTTGAAAGAAATCTGGCCCAAAGTAGTGAATTGCTCAGTTAACAGTTTTCATCTTTAGCCTGTAAACTAGCGCTGTTGATTGCCTGCATTAGTTTGGTATAGGTTTCTTTGCTAATAAAATTTCCACTACATCTAGGGATTTGGGAAACAATTAAGTCATCCTAACTTCTTTTATTCACTTTTTTTAAAATGAATTTGTGATTTATAAATTTATTATTTTACCTGTACAGATAAGAAGGCAAAATACATAGTATGTCAAAGAACAACAAAGTGAAATACGTATGTCATATTTGATTTGGCAAAATGTAGGTAGCTATTCACATACAGTACTAGACAAAAAGAATTTTAATGTTTACTGGAGTCCTAAATGAATTCAACTACACAAATACTTGGATAGCTTCATTTGAAAAATATTAATTTCTTAAAAACATGGCAGTTTCCCCTTTTACTGCCCTTTTTCTAAATTAGTGAGGCTCTAAATTTGGGGCCTCTGATCCCTGACTGGGCTTTCAGAGTGTCTGGACACTGGAAATATGTAGAATTGTGTCTTCCTGGGAAGAGTGCAAAGTAGCTTCTCACAGATGGTGAAAGAGGCCTTTTTCCCTTCCTTTATTTACATATCATTTTAATAGCAGAATAGTACTTAATTCAGAGGATTAAGAAGATGCATGTTGTTATTCTTCAACCTCTATTTTATATTTTCCATAGTACACTTGTGGGAGTTTTATATTGATTAGGTATAAGCATGACAGTTTGAATTGTTTGCTTCACCTTCGCTTATATATTTTGTTTTCTAAACTTTAATAAACAGGAACACAGCCTATTGGTTCCCTAGACTCAGTGTCTCCCAATAGTTATGGGAGTGTGAAAAATGTGTGCCCTGCACAGTTTGGCTTCAAGCACTTTCTTCATCTTATTCCCAATGAAGTATCTATCTGCAGCTTGCTTCTCTGCAACAGAAACGACACTGCCTGGGATGAGCTGAAGGTATGCAATGAGCTCCAAGTTCATAGCCAGGGGCTGAGGCAGGGACTCGATAGGCACTCAACAGGTACTGTTAATTTGATTTTTTTTAAAGATTTATTTATTTTATTTGAAAAGCAAATTTAGAGACAGATAGGGAGAAAGAGACCTATCTACTTGTTCACTCCCACAAGTGGCTGCAACGGCCAGGAGCGGGCCAGACAGAAGCCAGGAGCTTCATTCAGGTCTCCACTTGGGCCACTGTCTGCTATTTTTCCAGGTGCACCAGCAGGAAGCCGGATTGAAAATGGAGCAGCCAGGACTTGAACCATCATTCAGATGGGATGCTTTGCAGGTGGCCTTAACCAGTTGTGCCACATGCCAGCCCAGTGTTTTCCACATTAGTGAGACTTGCTTTTTTTTTCTCCCCCATGACCTCCCTGGGTTGCATAGAAAGCAAAAACAAAAATGAAAGAAGCAAAGTCACAGTAAAAGTTTTAATTGTCTGTGACATAGTAGACTTTGCGTGAATGGTCATTTATTTTTTTGCCATTTACAAGTAATCTAAAAGGTCCTTGACAGGTAAATTTGAGAAATTAGTTTAAATTATGTACTCTTTGATGCTAATGTATGAATTATTCAATTAGAAAATGAGCTCCCTTTGTGGGCACTGTGGCATAGCGGGTTAAACCAGTGCCTGCAGCAACGACATCCCATTTGGGCAACAGTTCAAGTCCCAGCTGCTCCACTTCTGATCCAGCTCCCTGCTAATGCACCTGAGAAGGCAGCAGAGGATGGTCCAAGTGCTTGGGCCTCTGTACCCACAACAGAGACCAGGAAGAAGCTCCTGGCCTTGGCCTGGCCCAGCCCCAGCCATTGTGGCCATTTTGGGAAGTGAACCAGCAGATGGAAGACCTCTCTTGGTCTCTGCATTTCTCTCTCTGTAACTCTGCCTATCAAGTAAAAAAATCTTTAATTAAAAAAAAAATGAGCTCCCCAAGTCAATACTGATCATTTACCTCTTAGTGGAGTTGTTCTCTGCCAGCAGTAACACATACAGCTTTTATATAAGGGAAGTGATAATCTATGGTCTACGGTCACAAGTCTGAAAATTCATTTTGTTCAAAGATATATCCTTGGTGAATATTGAAGGTTTGTCTGTTTTTTTAGTGCTTGGTTGTAAATGTATTATGTTCACTTTGAAATATATGCTACAGCATTTATATAAATAATGTATTTAGACTGAAATAATTTTTTCTTTAGTTCTTATTTATTTATTTGAGAGCAGAGATGCAAAGAAAGATGGAAGTCTTCTATCTACAAGTTCACTCCCTAATGGCTGCAGCAGCCAGGCCCAGGCTAGGCCAAAACCAGGAGCTGTGAACTCAATCCGAGTCTCCCACATGGGTGACAAGGACTCAAGACTTACTTAGGTCATTACCTGCTACTTCCCAGGCAGTGTATTAGCAGAAAGCTAGAATCAGGAGCCAGAGTTGGGACTGGAACCCAGGCACTCCAATATGGGAGGTGCCTCAAGCAACAGCTTTACCTTTCAGCAAAACTCCTGCCCCTGAATTTTTTTTTTTTTAGTAGAAGTACTGCAAAGTTTGTTAATCCAGATATTTTGAGGCCATATATTTGTGAATCACAATTTGAAGACTTCAGTATATACAAAAAAAAAAAATTTAAATGGCTTAACGAAAACAAACTTCTGCTAAACTGCCTTTCTTCATTCTATTATTCCAAAATATATTCATCACGTTATAACCTTGACAAAGCAGATTTTGTCCTTTTGCAATTAAAGTCAGGCTTTTTGAGTCTGTTGTGTTGCTTTGAGAACATGCTTATATCTCTTCACCCATCTGATGTGGATGCCTGCTATTTTGTTTTTTAGCTCACATGCCAAACAGCACTGCATGTCTTACAGTCAACAATCAAGGAACCATGGGTTTTGTTGGGCGGTGGCTGTACGGAAACTCATCTGGCTGCATACATCAGACACAAAGTAAGTTAGTCCCATCCAGATTGAATTCTCAGCAACTCTTGTTTTATGTGATAATAAAGCCAAATAATAATAACCTGGAGCTTCTAATACTACATTTTTCATCATCTAAATCAGTTATTTTTACTGGAAAGGACTTGAGGAAAATAACATTTGTAAAGATAAGGTCAGACCTTCATTGCAATGATTATTGCAGATCTAATCCTTTAGCAAATGATAGCAGTTGTGAGGACTGTCCATGCACTGCATGTTGAAACTGGCATTCTGCTATTAAGAGTTCTCATGATTTAAATGTGAAACACTTGGTATTTACAATGAAGGGATTGAGGCTCTAACAAAATACTTCAGTACCTTCTGGAGAATCAAGAAAATAATTACTTTCATTTACCAGGGCATTCAGGAATCAGATTTTAGATATAAATATAGATAGATAGATTCTACTAAATAGAATTTTTGAATGGTCCGGGAAACTGTTTCCTTCAACTGTCAGAGAAGTTTAGTGCATTCTAGTTGATTAATTACTTCACTGGTACCAGGCTACTTTTTTTGAAAATGGATACAAAGAACTGTAAATTTTTTCCATATATTCAGAGTCAATTCATTGGGCAGACAAGGAGAAGTTACTGGGGGGAGCTTTGCAGAGCTTCTAGTGGGTGACTGATAGTAAAGACTAAACATTCATAGGTATGCTCCATGATGATTTCTGAAATAAGAATCTATTAGAAGATAAAGCTCATTCACTAAAAGTTATCAGAATATATATCATGAAAGACAAAGTCTTCGGCAGTCTATTCATTCAGAATAGACGGTAATGGAATCTGCAAGTGAAACTGAGTAAACTATAGAAGGTTCTGGAGAAAGCAAAGGACTCAAGATTTTGCAGGAACAATGCAGCAGGGAGGATATGGAGGAAAACATGCAGTAGAGATTATCTCATGTAGTTCAAACCTCCCATTTTAAGAAAAAGGAAATTATCACTGTTTTTCAGTTGTTAGAGTACTGGTTCTTAACCATCATTCAGTTATTAGTGTGCTAATATGTTCATTTTTATTACTCATGGACTTTCCATGATAAAATTTTGAGAACTATGGAACTAAAAAAAAATCCTGTTTAAATTCTTATTACTTTGATTTAAAATTATTCATTTTTAAAATCTTAAAATAAAAATTGTACTTAAGGTATCTTAATAATAACCTGTGCCTTCTCATTTTAAACACATTTTGTGAGTGCAGTAAGCACTCAGTCTTCAGGAACCTCCGAGGGTGTGCATCAAAGCCTTGGGTGTGCATCATGCCTCACCCTTCGTGTCTTCAGAAGGCCCGGGCAGTCATTCTGAATAGCCGGATACTGGAGTCGCTCAGACTCGTTCTTTCTCCTAACCTGACTGGTAGCATGCATTATTCACTATAACCAACCAGGTGAAGGGATTGCAACCTTAGGCCCGCTAACCCATACAAACCCATTAGTACTAGGACACACTTCAAGATCAGTGACAGTAAGTAGCATCTTTGTGAATAAGGTTCTGATCAAGTATCCTATTTTTCCGAAACGTCCTTATATTAACTGCTCTGTGTTTTCAATGGTTTTGTTACCCTCAGACTCACACCGAGCCAGAAAGCCTTCTCAGTGATGAAGGATGTACTCAGACAGACCTGGAACTAATCGCTGAAGCTTTCTGCAGCGCTCTGGAATCCCTTGCCGGCTCTTTGGAACATGATGGAGGTGAAACTCTCACCGACATGAAGTATGGGCACTGTTGGTCAGTTCAGGCAGGTTCTCCCGCTGTTGTCAGCTGGGCAGATTTGCTTTCACAGTGTGGCTGTGGGTTACACAATAGCCAGGAAGAACTCAGCTGGTCTTTTTTAAAAAGTACACGTCATCCTATTGCACCAGATACCTGCCTTCCACAAACAGCTACAGATTCAGCCGGCAGCCTGACCGTGGACTGTTTGACTGCTAAGCTTGGTGGCCTCCAGGTGGCTGTGGAGACAGCTAATTTGATTTTGGATCTTTCGTACATCATTGAAGATAAAAACTGATAAAAGAGAATGACGTGTTTATATTATGAAACAAACCCATTAGGTATCAAGAAAAGCAGTTAAGTGCATTTATTCTAAGTGTGTTTGCATATTTGGATAGATGATTCATAAAATTCTAGATATACTTATTTAAGGAACAAAAGGAGTAATTCTGTAATAGAAATATCACAGAATAAGCATATGAATCATTGTTAATATTAATATTGTGCTGATCTGAGGAATTCTCATTGATTGCTGTGCATTGTTCTAAATTTTGGTTATTGTTATTTTGACATCTTTCTAAGAACATACAGAAATAAATTCTTACTCCATACTCTAGTTGGATATACTTATGATATTGTCTAATTAATAGTTATTGTATATGTTTAAAATAAAATTAGGTTCCAAAGTATCACAAAGCACCCTGTATGTATTGCTCAATCAAAAGAAGTATTCAGACTACACCTGTAGTAAAAGTCCACTTTTCTCAGTGCCCTTTTTCTCAGACTATGATTAGGAAATGATCTAGAACCTGGGTTACCTACAATTCCTAGTTTGTATCAATAGTCCACATTTTTGTTATTTTAAGGAAATGTGTGATTAGGAAAAAGGGGTTAAGTTCATATAATTATTAAAAGTGAAACAACTGAGGAATACCTTCACATTTAAATAGGAAGAAGGGAGCTGGTGTTTGCCAGAGTGGTTAGGACACCACTTGGGATGCCCACATCCCACATCAGAGGGCCTGATTCAAGTCCCTACTCTCCCACAGCCCGGCTTCCTGCTAATTCACACCCTGGGAGGCAGCAGATGATGGCTTAAGTGCTTGGGTCTCTGCTGCCCACATGAGAGTGCCGAAATGAGTTCCATTCTGCACAAAATCTGTGACATGATAAATTCTAAGTCAAGTTTTGGTTATTTTGTTGTTGTTGTTGTGCAGCAATAGATTCCTAATAAAGGCAGGAAGAAAGCTGACGTGTGATTACTTACTGAAAACCTGTTCACACAAGTAGATAAAAGCATTCTTGATGCCTCTGGACTTTCACCATCACCCCAAAAGGTTTTCTCCATCACACATATTTATATAGGTTTTACAATTGCTGAAGAAATTGTGTCACACAAGAATGTGAGAATTGTTTTGGTTCTCCTTGGTCCTATATTGCATTTTCAAATTGTTCCAGGAAGGGCTAATGCAATTGACTATACTTTTTACTTTCCATAACAGCCATTTTAGCTCTGTCATTTTTAGCTTTGTCATAAAATTTGATAGATTCCTTGGTGAAATATCAGTGTTCTCAATTTGAATGTGTCATAAATTTGATGAAATATTTTTATTAGCTCATTTGTGTTTCCTGAAGTTGTATATAATCTTTACTACAAAATGCTGGAAATGGAAAAAAAATTAACAGTTCAAGAAAAATCACCACTCAAACACAGATGGTAAGACATGAGATCAAAATTCTTGATGAAAACAATTTCAGAGGAGCTCATTTTGGCAACAGTGAGTGACAAGAAAAAATAGCAACTTAGTTAGGCCTCAGGCACTGTTTTGTGACTAAACTAAGACTGAAGTCTGAATATTGCATTATGAAGTACCTCAGGAGACAGAACAGGAAACCCTGATAGCTACAAAAAAAAAAAAAAAAGGAAAGGGAGAGTAATGCAAAAGAGAATGAAGTCAGTGACAGCTGCTTAATACTTTTCCTAGGACTCAGGCCCTGTAGCCTTAATGTTTACTGAACCATAGGAGTTTGAAAGGATTAATATCCAAGGAGGTTAGGATTTAAACAGCAAGGGGAAAATGGAGAACTAAACTAAAGCAAATTAAAAGAACTTTTTGAGTTAAAATACTTATTTGGTCTTATAGACACCTACTCTTTAATTCTTCCATTTGTACTATATCAGAGAATCTGTAAATGTTAGACAGTTTAAACCAACCATTACAATGAAGTATCTCACACAAAATAGGTGAATTGTGTAGTATCAGTAGTATTGGTTATCACAGTTGTCCTTATACCTGTTTAGTTTGTATAATCAAAGCTATTCTAGTGATTCACATCAGAAAAGAGAAATTGGAGTGCTCCAATACTGGTTTTTATACTCTGTATCGTAGATTGCCAAATACTTCCTTGGATAACTTTAAAATAAAATAACATTGTTTGTAGTCACAAATTATATAGGTTATTATTAAAGTGTATCATGTACAAAATCACTGTCATAATCAATGCAATCTCTGTCAAAACATCCCATTAGTTCAGTTATTTCTTTCTGATAATCTTTGGGGAATAGTCAAAAAGACTAAACATCTTTTATAGAGCACCCCTTTTCAGCTGTCTAAATAAACTTATCTCTTAATCTGAAGGAAAAGGCAATTTTGAATATCTGATATCTTTATATTTTTTAATGTAGTTAAATGTTTCCATTTAGTAACGGTGATATCCCTTAAGACTTGAAAACTTACCACTCACTTATAAAAGTCAGATTTAGATGCACCTAAACCCATTGCTAGCCTGTATTTTCGATTAAGATTTATATTATTTATTAATAATATAGTAATAATAATAAAAAGAGTGTAATCCCTATCCCTATATGTACCTAAAGCCCTTTGGTGGAGAGATGATTTATAATTTTGGTACAATAAAAGCACTGGAACATTATCACCTGTAATAAATTGTGAAATTAGGGGCCAGCACTGTGGTGTGGTAGGGTTTTCCACCTGTGGCACCAGCATCCCATATGGGTGCTGGTTTGTGTCCCAGCTGCTCTTCTTCTTATCCAGCTCTCTATTATGGCCTGGGAAAGCAGTTGAAGATAGCCCAGGTCTTTGGGCCCCTGCACCCACATGGGAGACCTGGAAGAAGCTCCTGGCTCCTGGCTTCAGATTGGCACAGCTCCGGCCATTGTGGCCAATTGGGAAGTGAACTAGCGGATGGAAAACCTCTCTCTGCCTCTGCCTCTCTGTAACTCTGCCTTTCAAATAAATAAATAAATAAATATTTAAACAAACAAAAAACTAAGAAATACATTGTAAGCTATTCAGATTTGCTCTTCTTTTAGTTATTCCCATTTATTGTCCATGTTAGTTTTCTTATTGATGACAGTGATTTGTACATGATTGATCTTATTGTACATGTTAACCTTTCATCCACCCTCTGTGGTACACTTTTTTTTCCAAATTGTTTTCTTTCTATTACTGGATGCTTTACCATTCAAAAGGCTTCCACTATTCCCTAATCAGATATGTCAGTGGTTTCTAGTTTCTGAGTTTATTCTTGCTATGGTCTGGGTATGGTTTATTCCCCCAAAGTGCAGGAAGCTTGGGCTCCAGTGTGGCAGTGCTGAGGTGGTGGAAACTGTAAAAGGAGGGGCCTACTAGGAGGTGATCAGGTCCAGCCCACCCTCAGAAGGGGTTAGTGCTGGTCTTGTGGAGTGAGTGGGTGGATCTGCAGATTAGTTCCTATGAAAGCCAGTTGTCATAAAAAGAGCAAGCCTGGGGTTGGCACAGTAGTGGTTTAAGCCTCCACTTGCCCTCCCCATGGGAGCACCAGTTGAAGTCCTGGCTCTCTGCTCTGATCCAGTTCCTGGCTAATGTGCCTGGGAAAATAGTGGAGGATGGCCCAGCCCACATGGGAGACCTGGGCAGACCGTGTGGCTTCTGGCCTCAGCCAGGCCTAACCCTGGCTGTTGCTGCCCTCTGGGGAGTAGATGGAAGATCTGTCACTTTGTCAAATAGATACACACATATGTATATACATAGGTAAATCTAAAAAAATTAAAATAAATGTTTTATAAAAAGGCAAACCTGACCCACCCATCTCTTGCTTCCTTGCTTTCACACATGCCCTTCCTACAAGTGTCCAGTTCTTTTTCTAGAAATTTCTCTGCCATCCTGTGAGGTAGCCAGAGGGCGCTTACCAGGACATTGCTGTTTGGACCCTCCAGCCATCAGAATTGTGAACCCACTAAACCTGTTTGCTTTCTAAGTTACCCAGCCTCAGGTATTTTCTTAGAGGAACATAGAATGGACTAAGGTACTTGTCTTAGTTAACAACAACAACAAACCCTAGATCTTTTAAGTACTCTTGTAAGTTATTTTCCATGAATTGAAATACTACATTTGTCAAATATCACATTCTCATCTAAGTAGAAACCTATTTCTTGCCTTTATTTTCTTTTTCAGTGACTTCTTTGACTATCCATAAACTTATGTCATACCTATTGATTTTGAGCTTTAATCTTTAAGTTTTTAGGTTTTATTTTTCCATATGAACTTATAGATCATTTTATACAATAAACTAAATTATAATTGGAATTCAACTTTGCTTTATATTTAATTTATAGTAAAACTGGGGTTAAGCCTCCACCTGTGGTACTGCCATCTCATAATGGCACCAGTTCATTCCAATCTAGCTCTCTGCTAATGGCCTGGGAAAGCAGTAGAAGATGACCCAAGTGCTTGAGCTCCTGTACCCATGTGGATGACCTGAAAGAAGTTCCTGGCTCCTGGCTTCGGATCGGCCCAGCTCTGGCCGTTGCAGCCATTTGGAAATTGAACCTGTCGATGGAAGCTCTGTCTGTCTTTCCCTCTCTGTCTGTAACTCTGCCTCTCAAATAAATACATTTAAAAAATTATAGGAAAATTAACATTTTTTGATTATTGCTTCCACTTAAAATATAGTAAATTTTTGTCTTCAGATCTTATTGCATTGACCTTTATTAAAATTTTAAAGTTCATTATAGGTCATAAATTTTTTAAAGTATTTTGTTGTCTTGTTGCTTTTTGATTAGGATTATTTTCCAGTGCAAAATGTCCAATACTACATTTATGTATTTTTAAAATCAATTTATTTGAGAGGCAGAGAAACACAGGGAGGGATGATGAACACTTCATCCACTGGTTCACTCCCCCAGTGCCTACAATGGCTGGCTGGGATTAGACTGGGCCGAAGCTAGGATCCAGGAACTCAATCCAGGCCTCCCATGTGGGCAACTGGAATCCAATTACTTGAGCCAGCATCACTGCCTTCCAGGAAGCTGGTATCAGGAACCAGAGCTGGGAATGGAATTTAGGCACTGTGATACGAGATGCAGGCATTTTAACCTCTAGGACAAATGCCTGCCTCTATTTGTGCATTTTTGGAAGACCATGAATACTGTTCATGGCTAACAGAAATAATAAATCAGATACTTTTGAATCTATGAGCTTGAGGCTGGCATTGTGAGGTAGCAGGTAAAGCCACTGCCTGATGCCAGCATCCCATATGGACACCAGTTCAAATCCTGGGTGCTCCACTTCTGATCCAGCTCCTTGCTAATGTGCCCAAGATAGCAGCAGAAGATGGCCTAAGTATTTGGGCCCCTGCATCCATATGGGATACCCAGAAGAAACTCCTGGCTTTGGCTTGGTCCAGTCCCAGCCATTGCAGCTGAAGAGAAGATCTCTCTCTCTCTCTCTCTCTCTCTCTGAAACTCTGACTTTCAAATAAATAAATAGTCTTTAATAAAAATCCATGGATTTAATTACTACTTAACGTTTAACTTTTCTAAAATTGAAATGTATCTTAAAATCAAAGTGCACATTATTTCATTTTCTTTTTCCCATAAAAAGTTGTTAGAATTGATGAGGAGCTTGACAGACCTACAGAGTTGAGGAAATAAAGTGCCTCCATGCAATTTAAATAGATGGAAGGAGAATCCTGACATTTTGGAGGTAGAGAGACCTTGGTTTAAATACTTGAGTAGGGGCCAGTGTTGTGGCATTAGACCTGGCTGTTCTACTTCCCAGCCAGCTCACTGCTAATGTGCCTGCATGGGAGATCCAGCTGAATCTCCTGACTCCTGGCTTTGGCCTGGCTTTGGCCTGGCTCTGGCTCCGGCTCCGGCTCCGGCTCCGGCTCCCCCTCCCCCTCCCCCTCCCCATCTATTCTTAGATATTTTATGATTATATATAATATATATTATATAATATAAATTATATATAATATATATTTTATAAGATTTTCAGTTATTATGAATGGGATCTTTATGTCACATTTTTTAGTTTTTTGCCTGTTGAACTCGTATTCAACTTTTTCACTTTGTACCTTTCTTTCTTTAGGGCCTCATTGCATTGGCTATGACTACCAGTACAATCTGAATAAGATGGCTGGTTGGGGCCTATTTTATGTTTTGTTTTTTTTTTTAATTTCCATGTTTTACAAATTTAAACTCCTCCCAGCTAAAAAATATGTCTACTGGGATATAGAACCAAGAAATGTAATGTTTTCAAATGTTTCAATTGCTAGGAAAATAAGTAATGTATAAAATAACTTAATTTATAGGCTTTATTTCATTATTATAAAATTTCAAAATATTAAGTTTTACTGTTCTGGGGATTATTTGAAAAAAACTAGTGGTATAATGTGGACCTGCCAGTTCCAAACAAAAAACATCTTTCTGGTTTCCTTGTCTGAAATTTATATCCTAAAACATAAGGTGAGTTTAGAAAATAACAGGAAAAATAAAGCCAACTTATCCACAAAGTGCTGGTGCTTCACAGTTAATGATGTCCTTGTAGCCTGGGCTACAAATAGCAATTTTCTTCCTGTTAATAACAGCTTTCCTGGGTCAGTGCTGTGGTATAGCGGGTAAAGCCGCCACCTGCAGTGCCAG